GTTTCTTCGAGTCTTGTGTACCATTCGAGGCTCAGAAATTTGCGCGCTACCAAGCAACGTTTGTACATTTGATAAACATGCCACATTTGTCTTTCCTTGCATTCATGCATTCTGTTCCCACCTCTTTAGGTAGTTTTTATTTCTTAAAAAATTGCCTAAAGCTTTTAAGCTTAAGTTTTTGTTGAATAACCGTTTCCACCGGTGAGTGATTTAAGCATAGGGTTTTTATTTGTTTCGGTATTATCGCTATTAACATTCACGTATCACCATTCACTACCATGATAGTCTGTGTCATCATAGCTGTGCTTATCATCCTCCTTTCCTTTTAATATCTTCCTTCTCATGAGTACAGTGACAATCGTTTAAATTACGGTTTGCATCTATGCTGCCTAGTAAATGTTGACTACATTTCGTTAGACCGACTACATAGCAGTGTTGCCACATCCCTTTGCTTCTAGACGCATGGAAGCATTTAAGGAGCGAAGAGCCAAGGCTACATCGCATTTGAGTACCGGCAGTGTATAGATAGAACATAGCACCACTTCTTGTGATCAGACTATACTGTCCATGCGCAAACGCAAGGTTATGGTTTAAACAAAATGCATGCTCAGTGGTAACACCCTTTACTCGAAAGCGTTATTTATTATAAAAATTTTACGTTTCACGAAATACGGTTTCCATCATCCTGGTTGGTTTTACCGCCTTTTTTATAATTTCATCATGTTAGATTGTTTCTCATAGTTTGGTCTTAATTCTGACGTCTTCTAGTTAAAAATGTGCAACATTTTCGCAATCCCTTTCATGATCTGTTCCTGTGGGCCGTACTCACTAATCGCTTGGACATGGCTTTTTGTATGTGGGAGCATGGTGATGAACCTCTTGCTAAGGTACATGAAATTTTATTTGTGTGAATGTGTTTCTTGTTTGTATGTGAGTGTAATGTGCCTTCAGTTACTCGTTTTAGGCTCTGATTGGACACAAGCTAATGAAGTCTATGATGAAAGAAGCGAAAGATGATTTTCTTGAAATGGAATTGCACGACGAACTGAAAAAGGGTGCAGAGTAAGTTTTACTTCTACCCTCATTTATGACTTCGAAGCACAAGCGAATCGATTATGCTGAAGGCTGGTAATATTACTGACGATTGTAACAAATGTTAAATGTTAATTATAATTCATATGTCAGTATTCGTGTTTAACGAACGACTCTTCAAAGACCATATTTCACTGCGTATTCACGAAATTTATATGGCGTTTCAGATGATCATTAAGCCATGACCGTTTTCTTCACTTCGGAATTGCAGTTCATTCGATTCAGTCGTTCCCATTCAAGGTTATGAGGATTGACTTGCTGAGTCGGTAAAGCATCGAACTCAGAACAGTGATTTCAGTTCGAGCCTGATCTAATCACTTTCTTCCGCGGTTGGTAACTCAGTATCACTCTCCATAGGAAGATAAGAGGAAGCTACTTGCTACGCTGATCATATGGCACTCCTGACTGATGGTACAGAAACGGAGATCGACACTTCAAGATTAATTCCTAAAATGAACGGCACCAGAATTGGTCCGATCATGAAACTGTAACAAGTCAGAAATTCTAGCGGTTAGAAACTTATCTTTCTCTTTCCTTGTGAGGATCTGTTTTAAAAGGAAAAGAAGTCTGTTGAATTAGTGGAGGTATCCAACCATTGCAATTTATTTTTTTATATTACACTTAAATTTTGCCGATTATTTTTCAGCTTGTTCAAAGATTTGGCATATGATTTATTGGAGCAGTGCTATCAAGTGAACGACGACCTCACCATGCGGTTATTGACATACGAACTGAAAAACTGGAGTCGTAAGAACTGCATTTCTTTGGCGGCGTTGGCCAATCACAAAAAATTCATCGCGCATCCGTGTTGTCAGCTGCTTTTGGGTGATCTGTGGCTCGGTGGATTGCGCGTGCGCAAAAACGTTAACCTGAAAATCTTGATGGCGGTACTGTTGCCGCCGATGATTCTCACCCTGACATTCAAAACTCGTGAAGAACTCTTGTTGCAGGCACAAACCGCAGAGGAGCATCATGGTAAGTTAGAATCTTTTTTACAAACGAAATTCCTTAGAAAATGCGCAGCATTTGGCAAATTCATAAATCATAGCGAACATTCCAACGTCCTCCTCTGCACCACAAGTAGAAGCTTAATGGAACGATTTGATCATGCTCTCCTTTTTGCGTAAATCCAGTTCTGATTCTCAGTCATTCTGCAGATATACGTTATTGATCATCTCTATAGACAGATTTTTCTATTGCGACTGGGTAACTGCTCTTTTTCATGACGTATTTGAGACTACATTCAAACTTGCAGAGATAAAAAAGAATTATGTTTTAAAATCGCTTTTATCGGAAACTGTTGATACCACGGTGTTTCATACAATGAATTTTTCTGAATGGTGGTTACCCCTCCCCATACAAATATGTGTTTGCAATTGTTGACATAGTCACTTCTAGCCATTTGAATAAGCAGGACTGCCCTGGCTTGGGATGTTGGTTGTACACATTGAAATGGAAAACGAGGCACCTTTTATGCTTCCGCTATTTTCGGGTTGTAGGATGGAGTTTTGGTAATTAATCAGAACAAACTGCTGTTGATTACTGTCCAAATAACGGAAGCAAGTAAATAGAGCAGAAGTAGTTAAAATTTTGTGGTATGAAGAAGTCTCGTGTTCATCGCAGTCGTTTAATGCCTAAATAAGTACCTCGCACAGACAAGAAAGGTTATTATGCTCTTTTGGATTTTCCAGGAAGTTTGCTCTTGCTGTTCCTTCGACGCATTTGCTCTAGGTTCATCACTGAAAAAGAATTATATTTTTACAAGTTGCGCGACACGTTCATCACATACATTTTTCTATGTCCAACATATGCTCCTGTTGATCTCTTTTTTGCTTTATCGGCAATTTTTGTGTATTGTTTGTGTCTGAAAATAACTGGTAGTAATGTCATATGCTAACTTTTACTTACCATGTACACTAGTGTTAGTCTTAAGTTCTCGAACGTTGCTCACATTGAGTTTATTAACGCTTTTTTCCAACTTTCCAACTTGAGAGTTGCTTGACTTCACAACGAAGACGAAAACAGCGATGAAGAATATTTTCAGAGCAAGACCCATCTCCTAAATGTTCAAATTTAGGAACACCGTAAAATTTGAACAAAGTGCTCTCGCCCTTTCTCTGTGATAGACTCTTGACACATTTAAATCGAATTAGTTGGTCACTGTTGGACATACTGAGGGGAGCAGATTACCTTATGAGCACACAGGCAAAGAAATCAGTCAGACTTCGGCTGTAGCTGCAGCCAGGCCTTATTCATTCGTAGATATCGATGGGGGTAGCAGATTCAACAGCTTTTCTAGTTTAGAGTCCTATTTTAATAAGGGCTAGAGGTCTGGTGCAACTATGACACCATTTTGGTAGACTCGGTTACAGCGACTTCTCTCGCTGCCTCTCCGTATTGTCTCTTCGCTCTCTGTTTGCTCGGCATGGAACTTGCTCGCTATGCATCAATTTGCCTTGTTTTATATAAAGTTAGTATCTTCTCTACAGTTCTGGCGGTGCCCCTCTGAACCCCTAAGTCTTGATATAGCTCCTTGCAAATTATTCTTCCAGTAGTATCACAGGATGACTGCAGTGATATGAAAGTACCACTGGCTATATCTATATCATCTGTAACAAATGATGCATTTATTTTGTTAAGTGGTACATGAATCTTTGAAGATCATGTTTAACGGTGTAGTAAATCACCTCTTTACTTCTGTTTGCTCACATGGACGGCCCAACTAGGCGGCAGTGAATAAGAGCGAGAGGGAGGTGCAGTGCGCAGTTAAATCTGGTCTTGGAACGTTAAGGCCGCAGTTAGCATATTCCGACTTACGAACACGTGTTGATATGCACGAGATAACATATATGGAATACTACTTCCTGTATCATCGTTCTTGGTGAGAATAAGGTTACTATAATAACGAGTATAAGTTTAGATGTTTTTATCGCTGCATTTACTCAAACCTTACTGATCCTTGGATTGCTTGAGTAATCTCTGGGAGAAGAGCGGGAAATTCGCCTAGATTTGGGGGCGGAAGGTTATGCGCGAATTAATATACTCCAATGTACAACCCGGCATTTTAACCATGTCTGTGTAAGATATTGGTATGACAGGTGAATTTCCATTTACCTGGAAACCACTTGGATTAACTGAACGAACCTCGCAGGTCGCAAGAATTTTGTTGTCAGAGCACATTTCAGAGCCAACGTGGCCTAGGGAAATTTTGTTCAGACGGTCTTACGACTCCGTCCGGATTTTCATCGAATTTGTCTCTTCTGCCTTTGATTAACCGACATCTAACCGCAAGAATATCCCTGGAGATCCTTCGAAATACGGGTCGTATACTAGTACCTTTGTGAATAAGAAGCGGAACTCACTTTCTTTTCGGTCAGTATATGAACACAATCGCTGGAATGATTTATTGACAGGTATGTAGGAAGTGAAGGCTCATAAAGCAGTGATGGATAAACATTTTCGCTTACTTCGAACTGATCAGTTGCCAGCAACGCACTTGGTAAAATTTCACCGTTTCTACCGCTTCAGACACCAGCAACAACCAGACTCTTTGCAGTGAAATCGAAAGTCGTTCACTTATCACAGGATTGCTGCCTTCTCTTTCTTGATATTGACATAATAATAACGCCATTCAGATGCAAATTTTTATAGCAGAGAGCAGTCCTTATGCATGCAGTTAGTCAGACTACTATGTAGTAAAATGTACCTTTGTTATCACCTGTCTGAATGCATCTTATAGTGGTTGCGCTGAATCGTTCGATGTAGACCTGATTGATTATATTCGCACTGGATTAGCTATTCTTGTAAGATAGCCTACAGTCATGATAATGCGACACTTTTTCACATATATAACTTGGTAAGCGATACATACAGGTTTAAAAGTGTTTGCTCATCAACTACGTTTAAATCAATCAATCATTTGCTTCTTCGTCCTCTTCCCTTTCTTTGCTTTTTCTTCTTCCTCTCCTCCTCTTTTTTTTACCACATTTGATTTAGAAAATGTCAACGATGATGATGCATCTGACTCGGAGTCAGATTCTGGTGAATCGGTTTATGACACGGAAATGGACGCAGAGTCGTGCGCGGAGACTCCCAGTCGCGATACTCTGAAGGGTTCGTACTTTCTGAAGTTTAGAAGCAGGAGATTGTCGTTATGCACAGATCCGCGACTTCATTTGGTATGATTGCGTTTTCGATTATGACCTTAGGACGGCAATATTTCAATTTCTAGACCGATGAGGTGAAAACGGTCGATACAGTGGTCAACAAGGGATGTGGAGGAAGTCGACGGAGGTCGCGCAAGGAACATCAGATGGTGGACAGCGTTCCGAACTCCACGTCAGCGGTGATCAACAAATCCGCTTCTGCTTCGTTTCCTATCAGCGCGTCTAGCTTCAGGTGTTTGAACGCTGTTCACATATTTAGCATATTAGATGAGAATAAATTAGGTTTGTAGCTGTAGTAGGCAGCATTTATCCGCTTTTCAGCGGTTCCTGTACTTGGGCAAGATACAATTATATACAGCGAACAAAAGAGAACAAAACGCTTTACAAAACTGAAAAGATCATTCTTGAAGATCATTCAGAATTCGGAATAAGTGAGTCAGTACTGAGCTTCTGAAAGCCCCAGCGAGAGCGTACATTCGATTCAGATCTGTACGCGTAGGCTAGCTCTCACCTTCGATTTGCAACTGGCCACCATCGTGCAGGTGGTGAGACGGATCCACTACCATGTTCGAAAAGATTTCAGTGGTAAAGCAAATGTCGTTGATCACTACCGAGGTCATCCTTTTATATGGCACGTCAGCTGCCGTGACAAGCAGCCTCATGCCCCGAAGTAGGTGCCTTAGGTGCCTTCTGATATCATCAACCGTTAGAGCCCCGAAAATTACGGTAGCTGTGTAGTCACTGCAAAATTAACACATGACCGCGAAACTGTCAGCTCGGTGCTTCCAACTTCTACAGTGTACGAGCGTAGAAGGGTGCCTTTCTCACCTTAGTAACAGTCAGCTGAAGGTAATCAGACCATATCAGCCGATCGATAAGGTGCGCCCCCGGATGATAGGAAAATGGTTTGTCTCCAATAAAACGAGTTTTAACGATTTTGAGTCGATTTTGAGTTAACGTTTTCGGATTGCAATCTTTAACTAATTTATAATTTACGACAAATCGAATTGTCTATTTAATGTGACATGCAAAACATGGACATACATTGCCTTAAAATACGATGTTGATTCCACTCAAACCAAATCTGTCAAAAACGTTTAATGCGTAAATTAGTGGAATATTACATTAACCTAGCACTGATTAACATTTCAGCAGTTTCTTACCCATTAGTAATACAGTATACTATAATGCACAATAACAGACGAGATCCATAACAATATGACAAGAAATAAGGAATGATGAAGAGAAAACGGATTGGTGCGTAGTAAGTTAATGCAGATGAATATCTAAATAGATGGGTTAATAACAAAAAAGGATCGATTTCAGCAGAATCCGCCCTTCTCGTTCCTCCTTTTGTAGAGTCCGAGCCATCTGCAGAATCAAATTTTCTGTATGGTTCAGTCTTCCCATACAAATAGGCATATGAAATGAGATTTCGAATTGTGTTTTGAAACAGCCTGGTGCACGGGATGAAGAGGATCGATTAGAATAGATTTACTATGATTTACAATAGATCTTACAATCTGATTTACCAGGATGTTTACGACATCTGGCCTGCTTTGCCGACTACTTTAAAATTCTGTCTAAATTTATGTCGGTCCACTTTACTAACTGCGAAGAAGTATATTGCTAAAGCACATGTAATTAGAGGAGGTATTCAGCAGCTTAAAACCAGTTTCTTGATTCAGCGTCATTCCATCGAATCGAATATCTCAACATTATGCCGCCACCATCCTTATTTTTAATGCATAGTGATCACATCTGCCATAGAGTTGTACCCTGTATTAAATGCAACAATATGCCATAACGCTACTGTAAAGCCCCTTAGACTGTATGTACATATTCATGACTTAACGAATCCTTCTCTTACTGTTTACAAAGTGGGTAATTGCAGTACTTCGTTTTGAACTCTTTCACTATCCTGATGATTATGTAGTGAATGAAAATTAGGGTGAATTAACTGCGGTTCTTTATCTGATTATACATACAAAGTTCTTTAGTAATTATATTTTTAGGACATAATTATACTTTTAATTGTATTGGTTGGGGATTTGCACTTCTTTGTTATTGTGCCATACTTGATAAACATCGTGTGATGTTTGTACGTCGAAGTA